GACTGTCACCAACACAAACTTCGAATCGGGCCTCATCACTCCATTGTATTAGACACCATTGTTGAGGTGTCCATTGTCTATGTTCTTTAGCCCATCTAAGCAGTGGAGTTAATAGTGGCTTTTCTTTGGCCTATAGACAAGTTGTGCAACTTTAGGATTTCTACTTCACTTTTTTTATAAGAAAACTTACCTTGCAAGTGCTAAATCCCAGTTTGTGGGCCTCTCTATGAGTTTTGGACCTCGAAATTCTCCTTCCAACAGCGTCACTCCACAGAGCACTTAATTGTAAATAATTGGCACGCCTGTTTTTCACGATTATTCTTCTTAATGCTCTTAGGTCGGCATTTGTGATATTACTTTTTTTCACATACCGTGGCTTAATATTAACTGAACCAGCTACGTTATATATTCTAATAATATTTCTCACACTGTACCGCGATAAGTCTAACAAAGTTGCAATTTCTGAGTTTGATTTCTCAGAATTAAAAATTTTATTATCAGTAACTGAATTTTCTCACTAATAACCTTTCCTCTACCCATTTTGAAAACCTTAACTACCCAAAACTATTTTAAACGTATTGTGACAGCTGTGATTAATAAAAACAACTGTCATGGCTTTTATTTTTCACAGCCACCTGTGCGTTATAGACTTATTTTGCAATGAAATGAAAATAGGTTGATATGCTGTAATTGCAACATGTGTTATTTTTATTCTGCAAATTTGATTAGGGAGTGATAAAGTTGGTGTTTTCTACTATATATTATCAAAATATTCATTGTTAATATTTTAAACCTATAACACCCTGCGACATTTTTATTATTTGTGTTTGATAAGAAAAAAACTAAGATTTCAATAGTTGGGCCAACTGAAGTGGGAAGGAGCTCGTAGCAGTAGCATTCGTTCACTTTTTTACTTTCTACGTTTTAGTGGAGGTGTTATGGATCTAAAACATTTATTTCATCACATTTATTCACGTTTACAATGGCATACAGAGCTTTTCAAAAGGCCCCCCACTTATTTTTTGTGGTGGGTCAAGTTAGCAACCTGAAATTTGAGGGGATATATTTTAATTTGAAAGTGACAGTTGAAAATTCCAAGATGGTTACTGGGCTCCATATTGAAACATTTTTTTGATTGGAATGGGTGTCATCTGGTAACTAACTAACTCATTGTTTTCCATTCTTAAACCACCACAAAAGCCTAATGCCTAAATACCCGTAGCACCGCGACAATACTTTAAAACCCTATGGTATAAAATACCCCAGAAACCTTATGGTAGGTGGCTTTCGCTGTTACTTTTGAAATTGGGCAGTCAGTATCCAATTACAGCGTATGGTATGTTGCATATAAGATGTGCAATAGCTGTTTGATATTTACGTTTTTGTCATCATCCATTCTGACCGGTTCAACAACCTTGCAATTCTGTCACATGTACAGGGTGGCCGAGCTTGCATGGATGGAGTATTGCTCCGATACACCAACCTCTTTAAAAACAAATTAGGACTATCACGCACCATCCCTGTGGTAGCAGATTTCAGGTTTATACAGGACGTTCGACTAATGTCCTGGAAAACAAAGTTTTTGCAAGATGCATACATTCTGGCCCTGCCTACGAGATCCGCCGGGTGGTACCTCTTCGTTCGACAGCCAGAGACCGTCTACCACCTACGGACAATCACAATAACCATTGCCAAGAGAAAATTTCTCTTGGGGCGGGATTCGAACCCGCACAGCGCACGGCGACTGACCACTGCATATGTGCATTCATTTCGGGCCTGATGAAGCCAACAAGCAGAAATACGTATTGCTCGGGTTTCCTGTCCTATTTTCTGCTCGCATCCACTTTCCTTCATTTTGCGGATTTTGCCCATTATTTTCCTATTTTTAGGCCAGTATCGTCAGTCGTCCTACAATTGTAGGGCCCGATATGATATAACTCATAAGCAGGCACAATTTGATGCAAATAGATGTTTGTGACATAACCTCAAAATAGAGCGCTGACACGGAGAAGTAGAAAACTATGACAATCAAGGAGGCCATAAAGGAGCCCTACAGTTGTAGGGACGACTGACGATACGGGCCTTAGTTATATACCTTTCTCCGCATGATCATTTTGTCTTTATATATACAGGGTGGCCCATCCATGTATGAACGGAATATTACTCAGAAACAAATTCATTTTGGGAAAATCTGTTTATGACATTTGAGGGCACATTTCTAGAATATTGTCAATTATACAGGGTGTCCCAATTTTGACCTACATAACAAAGTTTTGATTTTTTAAATGGCATGCCTCAAATTTTATTGCATATTTGGATAAACCAATTCAAAAGAAGATGATTGATATAACATACTATGGGGCCTTGGTAATTAGCTACTGAGATATAAGGTGTTTTATCTACGAAAAACCCCTACTTCGGCAACCCCTCAGTCCGCCATTTTGGAATTTGGAGTGCTGAATTTTGTATAAAAAAAACCTACACACCTCAGCTCATATCTTATTTGTTACTTTTTCGAATTTTCATTTTTGCTCATATAGGGTAGTCAAAAACGCGAATTGTAGTTTTTCTCAAAAATTTCAAATACATCACGCTATATATTTGTGCAAGTTTGCATTCATTTTTTATAAGCCTTTTTTGGTATAAGGTTTGATTCAGATAAAATCACTAGATTTTAAGTTATTAAGCTTTTAATAGAACAACACATCGAAACAGTGGGCTAGTTCCATATTGCCACTAAGAGTACAGATTTGACGTAAAAACTAATAACAATCAGAACAGTATCAATCAGCTTCAAGCGTAATAAATAAAAACAACTATAACAACAACATAAACAAACAACTATCACTACTCAAGACCTAATCTACAAAAACTGCTCGAAAATATCTCCACCATGATGAATACACAGCCGTAGTCTTTGGATAAATGACCGTTGCACATCCCTCAGTATGTGTTCCCTTATGTTCAGAAAAGCATCCTTAATCCTTTCCTTCACATTTTCCGGAGTAGATGGTGGATATCTACAAACCTTAACGTAGCCCCATAGAAAGAAGTCCATCGGTGTCATATCTGGTGATCTAGGACGCCAAGATATAGGCCCATTACGACCGATCCAACGATTGTTACTCCAAGTGTCCAAATAGTTACCCACACGATTATGATAATGCGCAGGTGCGCCGTCATGTTGGAAGCACATATGCATCCGAGTTTGCAGGTTGACATCCTCCAACAGCAAAGGCAAATGCTCGGTCAAAAATTTCAAGTATTCTGTACCTGTTAATATTTTGACGAAAAAGAAAGGCCCAAAAATGTGTCTGCCAATAACTCGAAAGTAAAGAAATCGTTAAGACTTAGATCGGGATGGTCCAATAATTCCACGTTTTCTTCCGTTAAATACTGCCTTGTTTTTGGGCTGTGTGCGAGCTTGTATTGCCTTGGTGGAGGATGATTCTTCTTTCGGGGTTGATTTTTCGAAGCTCGGTGATGACTTTTGGCAAAAAAATGGTGGTATACCTATCCTCAGTAACAGTTTTTTGCTTATTAAGAGGAATTGTTGCAATATGACCCGCTACCATCTTTTTCGAAACACTTCGAGAACGGATGACTTTTGTTGGCTTTTCTTCACCTTGGAACACCCAAACAGCCGACTGTCGTTTATTTTCTGGTTCATAATAGTAAATCCACGATTCATCACCACTAGCAATACTGAACACATTTTTTGAGTTTCCGGAATTGAAACGGTCAAGCGTTTTTTGACACCAATTAACACTGGCTGCTTTCTGCTCTTCAGTCAACAGGTGGGGTATCCAACGAGTAACTAATTTTCTTACTCCTAATTATACATGTAAAATTTTTTGAATTGAGGTCTTTGAGATCTCCAAGGACGCCCCAATCTCGCGATATGTCACATGTCTATCTTCAATGATGAGTTTGCGCACAGCATCGACGTTTTCCTGGGTGACTGCCGTTTATGGTGCACCCACCCTGGGATCGTCGCTAAGACTCACCCGTCCACGTTTGAATTCTCGATACCAACGGGAAATTGTCGACTGATTTTCCTGTAACTTTAATAGAACCTCCAACTGATTCGCCTCATTGGTGATACATAATGTTTCTCCGGCCTTGGATGTCGCATATTAGGGTACCGTTGCTTATAAATGCGAGATGCTAGGAAACTATTTCTTTGGGCTTCGCCCAAAACGAACACCATATTCACCATTTCTTCTTTAGAAAAATTCATTTCCAAACACGCTTTTATTGTAATGCTCACAAAGATAATTTTGACAGTTTGTAACTAATCAACAATTTATTTGTTTCCAAGGATGATGCGATATTTTAGGGAATTAAGCCGTTCCATAAAAGACGTGCAAAAAATTAGCCGTAAAAACCCTTATGTGTCTAGTATAAAAAAAGGTTATAAAAAATTGAATCCAAACTTGCATAAATATACAGGTTGATGCATTTGACATTTTTGAGAAAAACTACAATTTGCGTTTTTGACCACCAAGCAACAAATAAGATAAAAGCTGAGGTGTGTAAGTTTTTTTATACAAAATTCAGCACTCCAAATTTCAAAATGGCGGACTGAGGGGTTGCCGAAGTGAGAGGTTTTTATAGACCACACACCTTATATCTCAGTAGCTAATTACCAAAACCCCATAGTATGTTATATCAATTTTCTTCTTTTGAAGTGGTTTATCCAAATATGCAATAAAATTTGAGGCATTCCATTTGAAAAATCTCAACATTTTGGTATGTAGGTCGAAATTGGGACACCCTGTATAATGGCCAATATTTTAGGAATGTGTCCTCAAATGTCATGTATAACATGACCTGTATAGCTAAGTGTAAGACTGGTATATATATATATATATATATATATATATATATATATATATATATATATTATATATAAATAAACGAGTATATATACCGGGTGTGTCGGTATTGAAACATCGAATGTCTTTGATATTTACCAACCGAGTGATTTGGTTAAACGTGTTTCTGAAACGTCAATTTACTACAATTTTAGTCATGAATCGCTTTACACCGAAACAATGCGCCGAAATAGTCACAATGTAGGTAAATTGAAAATCGTCCTTCAGATGTGTTAACAAAAGGTGCATATCGTCGAAAATATCGAGGCAAATAGGCACCGTCTGACCACACTATCCGTCGTTTGGTTTCGAATTTTCTTGAGTACAGGACAGTGGGAAATCGTCAACATACCATTCATCAACGACCAAGACATTCCAATAAATTGGTTGAAGCGGTCAGACACAGCGTTGCCCAGAACCCAAAAGTGTCGTATCGTCACCGCGCTCAGCATTTTGGCATCAGTGGAACCACTTTGCGGCGCATTTTGACGGATGATTTGCATTTTTTCCCTTATAAGGTGCAGTTAACACAAAAAATTGCCAACTGACCGTCCACGTCGCTTGGAATACGCCCAAACAGTCGCTCACATGGTTGATGCTGAACCTAATTTTTCGAAGCAAATTGTGATAACCGACGAGGCCCATTTCACGCTCTCTGGCGACAGTTCGGTTTCAGGCCCCAGCGATCAAAGGAGGACCTCCTAGCTTACGCCACATAACTTATACAGTCAAATGGTGAAGCTCATGTCGTTGCTTTTGATATCACGAAAGCTTTGCACCAGCTGCAAACTTCCATACTATGGCCTCCATAAAAAGCTTTGCAGATGGGTGGCTGACTTTCTTTCTGTTCGCAAAATTTCAGTCATAATTGACCGGTTCTCCTTCAACCCACAATGTCAACGAGGGTGTTTCCTAGGCTTGGCTCCAGCATTGTTTCTATTACATATCATCGACTTCATCTCCTGTACGATCCGATCCACAGCTTTGCACTCTACACGCTGATATTCAAAGTGGTAAGCTGATCTATGCCGGTGAGCAGGAGAAAAAAAGACTAGCAGCGACTTCCTGTCTGACGAGAGATCTTGAAATTACTGCTTGAGGATACAACAGTCTGGTAGTTTAATCCTTCCAAAACATACCGTACCTTGATTAACAAGAAGTGTCTTAGCGATAATACGGTTTCGATGGATGGCGGAGTTTTTCCAAAGAATCGTTCGTCCGGCTGATTGAGTCCAGATCACCGGGGACTTGATTTAACACGAGCACATCTCGTCAATCGCAATAGCTATTGGGATTAAGTTAGGTTATTTTTTGGAGCTATACTTTTACTCCTCACTCTGTCCAGATAAGACCCAGCCTCGAGTACTACTCACATGTTTGGCGTGCTGCCGCTAGGACTACATTGCCCATATTCGAAGCTGTTCAGAAGAGAGCTGTCGGATTCTTCTCTAACGCACAGTTCCGGAACCCTTTCGCTTTATCCGTATGTGAACGGGCTCTGGTCCTCAGAGCTCGCTTCATGATGTCACCACGCGTTGAGCCTGCTAGACGGACCCGCCAGACTTTTTATTCCATCTCAACTCAGTCGAACTTCGTACATGCAGAACTGGGCAGTACGACTGCTCGTTTGTTTCTTGGGTGTCGAGATTGTGGAACAATCTGACTGAGGAGGTTTTTGCCAGTTCTGCTAACCTTAGGTTGGAGTTGAACAAAACATCAGATTTTTATCCTATGAAAATTTTAAGTTGTACATTCTACTATTGTAGTGTTAGACTATAGTGAACAAAAATATTGCAACCATGACATTCGAGATAGCATTCCCGGATTGGTTGATAAGAGTCACGTAATTTACAACGGACATGTGATTACGGATCCATTTGGATCCCGCTTAGAATCAAAACCTCTGTGTACTCATAAAAAGCTTTTGTGTTTTTGTAGTCCGGAATAATTTACCACTGCACACTTGTACTTAACCCCTAGTGGACTGTAGAAAATAGAAAAATCGAGACGTTTCCCCCATCTCTACTGTACGAGGTAAAACTAGGTAAACCTTTAAAATGTACTTTAATCGCTTTTAGGATTATCCTGAAGATTAAAAAATAATCATTACCTTATCCAAATGGGACTGCACTGCCGGTTGAAGCGCTAGTATATTGCTTCTTTACGGAGAAAGACGTAATTCACAAACTAGAAAAGTATGTGCATTTATGTAAAATGACATTGTAACGAAAATACGTATTTACTAAACTAATTAATTTATTACTCAACACACCAGGTATAACAACCCTTATCATTAATTCGTAACAAGTGTGTGACAGGATTATTCCCTAGACTAGGCTACCTTTTCTCTTCAGATTCGAACCGTCTTGAACAATTTTGAGCCAGTATCGAAAAGAAGTTTAATAATCTGTTTCCAAATATTAATGCTCATCATAATTATAATACTAGAAATCAAAATTTAAAGATCATCCATACACATACCACGAAACAAACAAATTATTAGAATCAAATGCATTTTATAAGATAAGTGAGTATATGAAATGTACAGCTTTGTAAAGATGAAATTAAACATTTATATGAATTGTTAAATTTATATTGATTTTTACTTATATTTTTATACATTTTATATATATTATATAGCTTATTTTTTTCCACCACTATTCTGTATCTAAGTGGTAGATAAAGATTGACTTTAGGTGAAAGGTTGTTTCAAATTTCACACTATCTTTTCAAGTAATCTGACATGGTGTTTAGCAGATTCAGACGTAATTCACAAACTAGAAAAGTATGTGCATTTATGTAAAATGACATTGTAACGAAAATACGTATTTACTAAACTAATTAATTTATTACTCAACACACCAGGTATAACAACCCTTATCATTAATTCGTAACAAGTGTGTGACAGGATTATTCCCTAGACTAGGCTACCTTTTCTCTTCAGATTCGAACCGTCTTGAACAATTTTGAGCCAGTATCGAAAAGAAGTTTAATAATCTGTTTCCAAATATTAATGCTCATCATAATTATAATACTAGAAATCAAAATTTAAAGATCATCCATACACATACCACGAAACAAACAAATTATTAGAATCAAATGCATTTTATAAGATAAGTGAGTATATGGAATGTACAGCTTTGTAAAGATGAAATTAAACATTTATATGAATTGTTAAATTTATATTGATTTTTACTTATATTTTTATACATTTTATATATATTATATAGCTTATTTTTTTCCACCACTATTCTGTATCTAAGTGGTAGATAAAGATTGACTTTAGGTGAAAGGTTGTTTCAAATTTCACACTATCTTTTCAAGTAATCTGACATGGTGTTTAGCAGATTCAGTGAATACACTGAAATTATCTAGATCTGACACTTTTATATTGCCATCGTACATTACCTCAGTTTTGTCAGTGGCATGGCGCACCAAGCGGCCATCATACCTACAAATGACGATTCGGATTTACGCAGCCTCAAAACAAACACGAGCCACTTACAAATTCTAGCGATGCTTTTGAACAGTAGGCAAAGCGCTAATTTGAGAGTGAAAATTGCTCCCGAATAGCCTAGTTTCTTTTGCCGCGGCATAGATGTGAAATGGCATCTAGGGTATGAACATGGCGCACCAAGGGCATGGCATACTTCAGCTCTTCATCATTCACACATCTTGTAATTGAGAGCTCTAATTATTTTTGCATTCATTCTAGCGTGAGCGGAAACAAAAGAAACTGTACAGCGAAGACTGGGCATTAGGTGACGAGGACATTGAAGGCAGGCGGACGTTCAATCTGCAAGAGAAGCTGGAGGATCCGGCGTTCGGATGCCAGAACATCGTCAAAGAGATGCATGGCTCTGAACTAAATGTCGCCTACTTCCAACGATACGGTTTCAATACGCCGCTGCTGTTCAAAGAAAAGACTGGATTAGGTAAGGAATCAAAATATTACCAAATATCCGGGTATAGAACCCTATTCTCCACGACGAGTCCCAGTCGATATACAGGGTATTTCCTAACTATGTATTTTGTCCTTTGATTATTTCCGAAAAGAAAACTGCTTCCTTTTGGGGATGCAGGGCAAGCAGCTGTTTAAAAAAAAATATATTTTTTTCACATGTGAAATCACCATTAACGACCGCAATCCTCCAATAGAAACGTACCAATTTCATATTTCGAAATATTCGTAAACGATTGTAAAATATATACTGCGCTCCTCAGGTAGTTATTCTTTTCAACAATCATCGTATATTATTGTTGGGAAAATCTGCACCTGACTCCTCTTTATAATGGACCAGTTCCAACCAACGAATTTAGACTAGGTAGAAGGAGTAAGTTTACGATTTGTTTTTTTGCCAAAATTATGTGGTCAGTATGGATGGAGAAGTTCATACTACAAGTCAATCAGGCTTAAACCGCCAGTTTGTCAGATATTGACTTTTTACATTAAATTCGTACTTTTCTGCGAAAATGTATAGAAGTACGTGGGTTCCGTACAATCATAGTGTTCCAGACAGTTGCCAAATGGTTGAGGTTTCTGTGGATTGTGGATACGAAAAGCCTTAACATTGGGCTTTTACCTGGACAGTTAATTTCGATTTATTTCATTTCACTTCTTGTTTCATTGAGCATTCAGTCCCAATCTAAGGTTTGTTAACAGAATTGTATACCTAACAACAACATTGAACAATGAAATATTGGAGACAAACAAATTTTTTGATGGATGCCGGAAAAGACCAACCGAAACTTTAATTTCGCGTTATAAGTATTAGTCGTACGATTTCATTTTAGTGCCACGAGATTTTATGGAAGAAACTACGCCCAAAAAAACTATGAATATCTAATTAATCAAAGTATTTCCAAATCTTTTTATTGGATATATATATATATATATATATATATATATATTGACGGTGATATAATAGCAGGAATTTTCATATTAGTTCTGTTCGTACAGTTGTCGCCAACTTGTCGTTTACCATGTCCAAAAGATCCCGCCAAAAAAACTCCGTTCATTCTTGAATGCTATACATATTGTATCATTTTTCTGGGTTCTTTTGGGTGTGGACTAAAACACTGGGTTCCACAAAAAGAAATGCACTAATTTATTTAACTTGATAGAACACACCACTATTTATGTCTGACTAATTCTTATGTCGCCATTGACTGCACTATACTCCACTCCGCTCTGCTACTCTACCGTATTCAGTACTCTGCTTTCATCTCCCGGCCGCAGAGTTATATAGTCCGCATCGTTGGGCCTAGAAGAATCGGGAGCCACGTAGCGGCCTTCCCGAATAGTCGAGGTTGCTTCGCGTCGATCTAGAAGGCGATAAAAGCAGAGATCGGCCATGAAGCTCTGGCGAGTAGGAGACTCGCCCAACAGATGGCACCAACAGTACTATTTGTCACACTGCCCCCTCCCTAAAGTCATTCCGTCCCGGAATGATCTTACTGGCGGTGGATGTCGATATCGGCACGACGGCCCTCTCTTGCAGTAGGAGTTCTTGAAGAAGTATCAATCCACACTCTTTCTAGGAGGTAGCCGTCTAGGACTGTGACAACATACCAGAAATCGAATGCCTGTATACCGGAAGACTACATCAAGCATGCTTCGGATGATTCTCCAGTCCAGGTTGTCCAGTCCACATGCCAGCTTAGGTATTGCCATTTTTCTCAGGTCCTCGGCAAGCAAGACTTCTCTAAGCGAACACAAAGCTTTCCAAACATCTTCGTAGTTCGGTTTCTGATACGAAGCTTTCTTGGTAACCAGATAGAAGATCTTTCGGTTGGTACCCTCTTCAGTTATCTGGAGTATTTCTCCGACTTCCGGGTTAGATTATCGCAGCTCGTGCACTCTTCCAAACTTCCTAAGAAAGACCTTTGATATACCTCTCGACATTCGCAAGTCTTGAGACACACAGTGTGCCAGGGCGTACTCTGGTGAAGTGGTAAACAGATCTTGCTGTACTTCACACGTCACGCTATACCGACTCTTATGGCAATTAGCATGGTGAGCCATAAATTGGTCATGTCATGCCCGCTTCTGGTTGGATCAAGCTGCACCGCCGCATCTTCGTTGTTTTCATGATTAGGTGCAATGCGGTTGAAATGTACAATTCGGGCTTTACCCGCGTGGAGCCTTCTGAATCCTGTAGAGAACATCGTTGATGGCATCCAGAACCTTATATGGCCCGTCCCAGGATGATTGAAGTTTAGGCGACAGCCCTTTTCCCCTCTTTGGGTCGTAAAGCCAAACCGTATCACCATTGTCATACCTCTGGTCTTTGGCATTAACGTCATACGCTTCCTTCATCCGGTCGCTGGCACCTTGAATTGAAACACGAACCTGGCTATGGATGGCGTCCATTCTTCTACGCAGCTCACTTACGTAGTCTTCTCCTACAATATCAGTTCCTGGTGGACAGCCAAACTTTAGATCGCATGGGAGAGTTCTCTTCCCATAACTATTCGAGCCGGGGTCTCTACTGTGCTTTCATGAATCGACGATCGGTAAGCCAATAAGAAGAGGTGAAGAAAACTATCCCAGTCTCTTTGATGGCTAGAGACTACCTTATCCAGATACCGGTTAATTGTGCTATTCATGCGCTCCACCATTCCATCTAACTGCGGGTGTCAGGCAGTAGTCCTGGTCTTCTTAATCCCAACGATTGGACATATACTTTGGAACAGATTTGACTCGAAATTGCGCCCCTTTACTAAAGCATCGGCTACCGTAGACGCTTTCTGATTTGGCAGAGCGTATGTCTCAACCCACTTGCGGAAGGAAACCAGTACCACAACAATGTTTTTTTTTTTTTTTTTTTTTTTTTTTTATATCGAAACAGCCGCGCAGGCAGAAGCCTAAATGCCGGAACACCGCGGCTGCTATGATGATCCCAAAGAAATTTTGTTAATACGATTTTTGAACTGCCTAAGGTTAGCAGAACTGGGAAAAGCTTCCTCCCGTAGTTTGTTCCACAATCTAGACACCCTCGGGACAAAGGAGCGGTCGTATCGGCCAGTTCTGGATGTACGAGGTTTGACACGGTTAGGATGGGACGCCGAAGTCAGGCGGGTCTGTCTGGCAGGCACATCGCGCGGCGGCATCATGGAAGAGAGCTCTGAGGAGCAAAGCCCGTTGGTGTAGCGATAGAAAAGAGCTAGATCGCCGACGGCCCGCCGGTGCGAAAGAGTCCCGAGGCTGTCTGTTAGAGAAGAGTCATCGATCAGTCGGACCGCCCTCCTCTGGACAGCATCGAGCATGGACAATGTAGTCGGGGCGGCAGCACCCCAAATGTGTGAGCAATACTCGAGGCTAGGCCTTATCTGGGCCTTGTATAGAGTGAGAAGGTCATGCGGAGAAAAGTACTTCTTAGCCCTAAACAAATAGCCTAGCTTTTTCCCAGCAGCTGCAGCTATTGAAGAGATGTGTTCGTGCCAGATCAGGTCCTCGGTGATCTGGACTCCGACCAGCCGAAATGAATGGCTCTTTGTTAGAACTCGGCCGTCCATCGAAACTGTATGAGCGCTAGGACGCTTTTTGTTCGTCAAAGTACAGTACTGTGTTTTGGAAGCATTGAACTGTACAAGATTGTTGCGTCCCCAAGCAGTGATAGCCTCCAGGTCTCTTGTCAGAGAAGAAGTCGTCGCTAGTCTTCTTTTTTCCAGCTCAGCGGCAGAGATCGGCTTGTCACTCTGAATTCCTGCATGTAGAGTGCTGTCATAAGATGTATTTATTTCCTGCTTCACTTTCTGGAAATAGTCCCGCCACATCAATAGCAATCATTTCAAAGGGGCTCCCCACGTTGTAGTGGCGCATCGAAGCTTTTGGTTTCCTGTGCGGACCATTACTTGCCGCACACACAACGCATTTCACGTCATCCTTGCTATTGACCCAGTAAAATCTTTCCCTCGCTCCAGGGTTTTTGTAACTCCGAGATTACCTGTTGACACACCGGAATGGATTCCTTCTAGCAGCTTCGGGATCCGACATCTGGGAATAACGATTTGTCTTCTTTTCTCTTTGCCGTCGTGGTCCACCATTTTACGCAGTAAGAGTCCGTCTTCCATAACGAGAGAATTCCATTGTGCCCAATATGATTTTATGGTAGGGGAATACTTGGCAACTCCTTTCCAGGCTGGTTTCCGTTGTTCTTTAATCCAGTTCAGAATTATTCGAAGATCGAGATCACCCTCTTGGTGTTTAATGGGATCTTCATTTTGCCAAGTATCACTAACGATAGTGGTTTTTAATACATGGGTGTCTTTCTCTTCTGCCCGCTGGCAATGCTTATAATCCTGGTCTCCTCGATAAGGCATCTGCATTCCACGGATTTTTCCCGCTCGATGTTCGATGCCGAAGTCAAACTCTTGAAGCCTGTCTATCCATCTTGCAACTTGACCCTCTGGATTCTTAAACTGGAGAAGCCATTTTAAAGCTGCGTGATCGTTCCGGAGTAAGAATTTTCTGCCATAGAGGTATTTGTAGAAATGTTCCATTGCCTTTGCGACCGCCAGAAACTCCCTCCGGGTAACGCAATAGTTAAACGCTTTGGTTTCGACAGTGTTTTGCTAAAATATCCAATGACCCTCTCTTCTTTGCCTTCCTGGACTTGGGATAATACAGCACCTATACCCACATTGCTAGCATCAGTGTCTAACACAAACTTTCCTTCTGGCAGTGCATAGCTGAGTATGAGGGCGCTTGTTAAAGCTCTTTCAAGTGGGTAAAAGCTTGTTGGAATTTGCGTTCCCCTTCTATTAGCCTGGTCAATGGTTTTGCGATGTTAGCAAATCCTTCCACGTAACGTCGGTAATACGTACATAATCCTAGGAAGCTGCGTAGCTCACGTTTGTCCTTCGGAACTGGCCATTTTTTTACAGTCTGGATTTTCTTCTTGTCGGCGGCGACTCCCTGACTGGAAACAACAAGGCCAAGATACTGCACAGTTCTTTGAAACAGATGGCATTTCTTTGGGCTTAATTTCAAGCCAAAACCTCGTATCCTTTAGAAAACTCCGTCTAGGTTCTTCATGTGGTCCCCAAATGATTTCCCCACCACGATAATGTCATCAAGGTAAACCAGGCACGTTTTCCAGGATAGTCCTCTTAGAATCGTGTCCATCAATCAGCCTTTCAAAGGTGGCAGGAGCATTGCACAGGCCGAATGGCATCACATTAAACTGCCATAATCCGGTGCCACCGTGAATGATGTCTTCTCCCGATCTTCAGGGGCCAATTCTACCTGCTTTTTAGGGCTAGGGTGGAAAACATTTTTGATCCAGCGAGGGTATCCAGAGTGTCATCAATACGCGGTAGAGGGTAGCTGTCCTTCTTGGTCACGTTGTTTAACATTTGGTAGTCGACACAAAATCTGGTTGAACCACCTTTTTTTTAATCAAAACTACCGGTGAGGCCCATGGACTGTTGAACGGTTCAATGATTCCCTCGTTAGCCATACTGTCTACGATCTTGTCAGCCTCCTCTCTTTTAGCAAGTGGGAGCCTTCTTTCCATCTACCGGATGGGGCGGGCATTTTCCGTATTGATCGTGTGCTGGACTATATTGGTTCTTCCTTTCTGTCCAGTATCGAATACATCCCGATATCTATGTATTAGGGCCTTTGCAATGGCTATCCCTCGGCCAATAGCCTCGTCATGCATCCTAGGTTCAAACATGACTATTTCTATTAACTTATGGGGCTTGTTGGCTACAGGTCGACCACAGCCTCTTCACATCGACCTCCCCTAGTTTTCCGGACTGGCCGGATGAGGACTAGCACCTTCACGACCGCGTCTCCTAACGTGCCCTATTTTTCCACATTTCCAACATTCCAACCTGCTGTTCTGGCGGCGTCGTTCACCATCAAGTTCCTTAAAAATGCGCTTGACGGACTCTTCGAACTCGTTATCTCCTGATACCATCTGGCGGACTCGGACCTAGCTTTTGTTTGTGTTTTTAGCGGCTTCGAATTCTAAGGCCCGAGTTAGCGCATCTACTAGCTTAGGTGGATGTGCCAGTAGTAAGGCTTGCCTCATTTCACCATCACGAAGTCCATCCACAAATGCTTGAACTGCCAATACCGCGCAATATCCGCTTCAAACTCCTGCAAGGACTCGCCTGACTTCTGGAACCGATTCTTTAGTTGAGTATGTTAGACATGTTCTAAATGTGACTGGCAATATCGCATCTCCAAATGTCCTACTAGTTGTAGACCTCTTGCTCTTCGGGCATTCTTTGAAGAACAGCTGTAGCATCTCCTCGTTGGGCCAAAGTGAGTGCAGTTGCCTTTTCGGTCGATGACCAACCATTTGCATTCGCGGCTGCCTCAAACTGACGTCGGTAGACATTCCAAGGCGTTGTACCATCAAATTGCGGCGGTTTCATTCGTAGATGACCAGCTGACCCAACAGAAGCTCCAATCTCACTTGATTTTTCCAACGGAAGTCCACGCTATCGTTCGTCGATGGTCTTGACATCTAAAGCAACAAACTTGCCTTGCACTTCTTGAATTCTGTCGTCCAGAATAACAATCCTTTTTTCCAACTCGCAATATTTTTCCATAATTTTATCTTCCAATTCTTTTGTTTGCAGTTGTTGGCAGTATTTTCCAAAAACTTATCTTCTAATTTGGCTGTACTTTCGTGTAACTCCAAGAGTTTTCCTTCTAGGTTGGCACAATTTTCCACGAGCCTATTTTCTAACTTAGCTGAGTTTTCTAAAAGATCGGCACAATTTTCCAAGAGCTTTCCTTCTAGGTTGGTACAATTTTCCACGAGCTTGTTTTCTAACTTGGTCGAAAGATTTTGCAACATTAATCCAATATCCCTTACCGGTGAAAATGAACATATCCGGGTCCTCCCCTTCCTCAATCAGTGCTTGACGAAGCCGCTCATGTAATTCTGCTTTCTTTCCAGCCGTGTCGCACTCTCTTTCCTCCAGCTCTTTCTTTAAATCGGCAATTTTCAAATCAATCAATCGCGCCATTCTTCCTTCACTGATCGTCCGATTTATTTTCACTAAATGTCCAATAATCCACACCCCACACCTGACACCAATGTAGCATTTTTCTGGGTTTTGTTGGGTGTGGATTTTTCCACAAAAAGAAATGCACTTATTCATTTAACTTGATAGAACATTTATGTATACCACTGTTTATGTCTGACTAATCCTTATGTCGCTATTAACTGCACTATGCTCCACTCCGCTCTGCTACTCTAAGGTATTCAGTACTCTGCTTCCATCTCCCGGCCACCGAGTTATATAGTCCGGGAGCCACATAGCGACCTTCCCGAATAGCAGAGGTTGCTTCGCGTCGATCTAGAAGGCGATCCACTATAACGATCCTCACAGACGCCGCCAAGCGGTCGTGGTTCGCGTAAAAGCAGAGATCGGCCATGAAGCTCTGGCGAGTAGGAGACTCGCCCAACAGATGGCTCCAACAGTACTATTTGTCGCAATATAGGCGAAATTCATGTGGCCGGACTCCAGATATAGTCACGACAAGTCACCGACCACTATACGAACAAATGTATTTGCTTTTAGCCAAGAATATGTTAGGATCACAACTATTAAGAAAAACCGAGTCGAATTCATGCAAGGTGTTCCACTATTTCCAATATCAGATATTCCGCCATTGTTGCTGTTTGATGGAGATAACGTTTCGTTTGTTCACCTTTTTGAATCTCTAATAAGTAGAATTGTTCATATGCTGCCATAGATATTTATTTTCGTTCATTTGTCTTATTTAATCCCTGTTTATTAAGAATAACTGAGCGATTCACATCGCAAAACATAGTCTTTGTGCCTTGTTCTGCGTGATACATCCAGTGAGGCAGTACGAAGAGCTCCAGAGGTAAGGCCGGCATGGTAGGCAAATTAGACAAAAGTATCCACTAAAGCTAGTCAATTTTAACGACAAACAATGCAATGTAAACATTTAGGCTTGATTCCCTCTTTTCGAATTTGTTGGTTCCAACCGGATCTGTTATATTCTTCAATTTAAGTTTGTATAATAAGTTGAAAACGTTCTGAACGCCAATTCTTGAAATTAGGAGTAAAATAACTGAGAGATAACGGCCGTGATTCTACCTCTCGGGAAACCGTATTCCTGAACGCTAATAGAATAGCCGCTCCCCGAATCATTCTCGGGAGAAAAAGTGCAGAAATCTCGCCGTCTTCCATCAGTTTCGTTTCTAAAGTCGAAGTTAACTTTGTAATAAAATGTTTTATGATATGAAAAACCTAGAAATACATTATTTTGCCGAAAATAGATGCATACACAGATTTATTTGATAAACGTCAAAACACAGGTCAAAAGCTGCCAGAAAAGGTAATTTAACACTTTTTCTACTAGCTATTCTATTTCCTCATTTCATAAATTGGATCCCCATCATCGTGATATAAAATAGACTATTTTGTGATATATAGGGTTTGTTTGTACAGTGGTCTATGACTTATCGGTGACTGTGTCTGGGAGCCGGACGCATGAATTCCGTCTATATAACGTGGCAGAATGATCAAAATTTGTGTGACGGGATCTTGGACACAGTCACTGACAGGTTGGCGACTGCTGTACGTACACGACTATAGTGTTATCAGTAAAAAAATCTCTGCATATCTCGTTTGATCAGACTCACTCCTCAAACTATGTAATCCATTATTTTTATTAGCAAAGATGGCATGAGATCTTCTTAATGTATAAAAACTGTTTAAAACAGGTACATCTAGCTAGAACTTACTACAACACAGGGTCATTTCTTATTAAACAACCTCGGTATGGTTGCTCGAGAGCTTAAACTTTCTAGAAGATTATTCCCTATGAGCCCATCTGAAATAATAACCAATAACAACTAAACTAATAAGTTTACGCTACTCCAGTGGAAATGTGGGAGATTTGAGAAGTGGTATAGTTATTGGATATGAATAAGAAATGAATAGTTAATCGAATTTTCGCTCAATGTTCACGAAATACCTTGTACATATATGCAAAAATACTCGGATAAGTTCTTTAGTTTGAATGCAGAGATTCTTTGATATGCACATTTCCATTTAAAAATCTTCAGTTATGTAGTTCATTTTGAGGTTTTTTGCTATTATCTATCAGTTTTATACGAAATAAGCAAACCAATCGAACAACTGTGCCATGTGCAGAACTTAACTTTCGTAGGGAAAATTACACACTGTTAAAACTGATTTTCAATGGCTGTTCTTACACACATGAATTGCCTAGATTCGTTTTTCAAAAATACACCAATACATAAGCAAAAACTCAAATCGTACGCCTATGAAAAGTCGGTTGTCACAATGACAGCGACAAGATAGATGTCATACATACAGATGCGACAATGACGAGGCAATCACCATTGCTGAATTTGAAATAACTTTCTAACCTTGCATAAATTTCGTTAATTTTTTCGTCAAGTTGTAGATAATTTCATCGTCATTATTATCGACTACCGATCTTGCAAAAAAAATTGAAAATGTGTTGTTATACAGGGTGTAACTAAAAGGTGCATTTTGCCCTAAATCTTTGAACACCCTGTGGAAACATTGGATTACTCAATAATGTGTCTTCGTATGAGAATTTTAAGCATCAACTTTTCTCAACAGTTCTTTTTTTGATTCATGTCAATATCTGAATTATTGAAGAATATGCTGTTTTGAAGAAAATCATGCGAATCATAGCCATAAACAATTTATTTTAAAAAAATACAGTGACAACATTGGTAATTAGAAATTTTTAGCAAAAACGAATATTTCCTCCCCTGGCTTGAATAATGCATGCTCTCTGGCATAGATTCAATTAAAATAGCTGTTGTGTCTTTGAGTATTTGCTCCCACTCGTTTACTAGCGGCTGTTCCAGCGCAGCCACAGTTTGAAATGCTCTATAGTTCTGCATAAGCCTTCTTCCTAATGTGTCCCACATGTGCTCAATGGGGTTGAGATCCGGACTCCTTGGCGGCCAGTCTCCTACTTGAATTCCAACATCGTTGAGGTATTGCCCAGTCATTCAGGCTATATGCGGCCGAGCATTATGTTGCATTAGGGCATATGAGGAACCACATGTTCTTCCAAACACTCTCTTATGTACCTGTCGGCAGTAAGGTATCCTCTTCGTAGCGAAACAAGATCTGTGCGACATTCCTAAGAAATACCGCCCCAAACCATCACTCCTCCACCACCAAATTGTATTCTAGGAGCGAAGCAACTTTGACCATAGCATTATCCACGCCTTCTCCACACTCATTGGCGACCATCGGATGGATATCTCGTAAAACGAGACTCGTCTGTAAAAAGAACGTTTTTCCAGTCGTCCATATCCCAATCTGCATGAGTTCGAGAACATACCAAGCGCTGCCTTCGATTACCTACATCCCATAGAGTACCTGTAGCACAGGTACACAAGATGATAGGTTTCCTTCTTTCAACCTTCGGCGTACGGTATCAGGTGAAACTATGGTACCATGAATATCATCCAATCTTCGAGTCAAAACTGTACCGTACTGCGTGGAACGGAAAGCTTTCTGCGATATACCGAATAGGACGACCATCGTCTTGTAAAGCTTGCGCTACTTGTTCCGGTGTCATTTTTGTTGAGTATTGCTTGACAAGAATCTTTTTGACGTGCCATAAAAATGTTAACAGACACAGCCTACTTGAAACAATTTCTTACCCGGCAAAGCCTGCTTGAAACAATTTCTTGTTTATGGCTATGATTCGCATGGTTTTATTCAAAGCAGCATCTATTCTCCAATAATTGAGATATTGACATGAATCAAAAGAAAACTGTTGAGAAAAGTTGAGGCTTAAAATTCTCATAAGAAGACATTATTCAGTAATCCAATGTGTACACAGGGTGTTCAGAAATTTAGGGCCAAATACACCTTTTAATTACACCCGGTATAACAACAAACATTTTCAATTTTTTTGCAAGATCGACAGTCGATAATGACAATGCAATTACTTACAACTTGACGGAAAAATTAATTAAATTGATGCAAAGGTTAAAAAGTTATTTCAAATGGGCGACAAGGGAACAAAAACAATACTATCTGAGATTTATTAAAAGTCATTCACAATACTTTGTACATTTCTAATGCATAATCACTGCAGACGTTGATTCAGAATTCTTACTATGTATTCTTCAACTTGTCATTTGATGTGAGGAATCATATTTCTTCGAATTTATGTTTATACTTTTTATACGAGAATTGAATGGGAATTACTGAGTAATATACTTGAAATTTTTGGGTGCTGTTGTTTTTTCTAGAAAGTGTCCATGTTTTCATCTCTAGAGGAAATTGCGGGCACATTCAGGCAGTTGGAGTAAAAATCCTAGATCATTCC